CTGTTATTTTGAAGCTTTAAAGAACTTTAAGGAACTTGATTTCCTAGAGGAGAAGTGTTATGGCGAGATGCACACGGCTGCGCGGGAGCCGCGTTGCCCGATCGCTTTCCTTCCACACCTAGCAAAAAAAAAAAAAAAAAAAAATTTCATTCCCCGTTTTACCTGTTCGTCGTCTGTAACAAATACTGCCCGCAGATTCCTTTCTCACTCCTTTGGATATGTTTTGGGACATGTCGTTTTTTGCTTTCGAGGTGTTCCTCAGTGTTCGGGGGGAGGAGGAAGCGAAAAGGAGAGGAAAAAAAATGAACAGATTTGAGTGTGAAACAAAATCGCTGCAACGCGGCAGCGCTGACCCGGAAGGCAGAGGAATAAGCGGGGAAGGGGGAGCAACTCACTTTGCTGCCTTTTACGCGGGTTTCGAAAGGCTCCGGGCCGGCCCCGCTGGTCGCCTCCCCGCCCGGGGCCGCGGGACATGCGGCCGGCGAAAAAACCCGGGAGAGCGGAGCCCTCGCCGGGGCGGGCAGCTGTGAGCACCCCGCTCCCACGGGCTGAGGGGACCGGCACGCAGAGAAGGGGGGCTCAGCAGGGCTGTGTCCTGGCAGGATTTTTTGAGGGGTGGGGGGGAGCACTGATTACCTTCCCCACCCCGCGTGAGTCTTTCTCCCTTCTAAAAGATTCATCCCATCTAAAAGAAACCGGGGGGGTCACTTCGAAGGGCGCAAGTTTCATTTTTTTAAGATGAAATGCAAAGCTTTTCTTTCATTTAAATGAGGGTCAAGGAGAAAGTTTAAAAAAAAAAAAAAAAAAAAAAAGGAACCCAGAAACATATTGAAAAGGAACCCAGAAACATATTATAAAAGCATTCTTCCTTCCCTCCTCCCACCCCACTATATTTCATTCTGGGTTGCAGGGGATGTATTGCTCCCAAGAACATCAGCTGCCTTAGTAGATCATGTTAAGGAGACCCAGTCAGAGATTTATTTAGCTCTTGACCCCTTAGGCATTTGGACATTACGATTAAGGTCCTGCATGGAGAATATAAATTGAATGGAAACCATAGAAAAAGGGGAAGTGTAGATATGATATGTGTAAGCACTCCTAGGAGCATGGACCACCATATTCCTCACCATCTGGAAGCTCCTACACCTTCACTAAAAGACAGAGTAAATCATGTAATGCAGGCAAGGACTGAAGTGTGTGCAGATCACTGTGTTAAACCCCATCTCCGTGGAAAGGATCACATTTTACAACATGCTGAAGGTGAGTAGGAACTAAACTCAGAGGGAAAGGACACTGAAGCCTTATGTCAAGATAACTGGTGAATGCAAAAGCTTTCCAAGAAATGCAAACAGTGCCCATGTCTACAAATCACCTGTCAGCTTCTGAATCTGCCCAGTTTTAGTTCTAAATAGTCTCAAGTTGAGGTAGCTGGGCGATTTGTTACTTATTTTGGTTTTTAGCTGTTTCTTTTGTTCATTTTCACAGGCTATAATTTCTTCCAGGCACAATGCCATCCTTCATTTTTTGAGGAATTTGGAAAATGGAGATAGCTAACTGAGAGCAATTAGTACACAAAGATAATGTCATGCTGCCTTCCACCAAACTTCATGCAGCTATCAAAAAAAAAAGAGAGAGAGAAAAAAAAAAACTCTCCTGTTTTCCTTTTATTTTGGCCGTCGCTTGGTGCAAAGCTCTGCGGAGGGCAGCGCTGGTCCCGGGCCCCCCAGGAACCTCCTGGTGTTGCCGGACAGGCCCCAGTGCCCTCTCCCCCTCCCCCGCCGCGCTGCGTGCCCGGCCCGGGGACGCTGGGCAGGATGGCGAGCGCGTTGGGCAGCTGCAGAAATAGATCTATCGATGGGCCGGTCGATGGGGCGGTCGATGCGCTATCGCCATTATTACACTCAATGAAACCGTTTCAGACGCGGCTGCTTCATCCCGGTTTGTCCCCCACCTCCTCCTCGCTGCGCACCTCGGTCCCGGGCGCAGCTCTCAACCCTTCCCGGCTCCGGGCAGCCCTGAGGCTCAGGCTCGTGTTGGAAGCCTGAAAAACCCCTGTCCGACATTCTCCCCCTCCCCGAGAGATGGAGGCTTTTTGCAGCCGCGCGGGACTCCGCGGAACGCGCAGCCTCCGCGCTCCGCTCTGCGCTGCGCTCCCGCCGCGCCACCCCGAACCTGCGACGCGTCCCCAGGGTGGATCCCCAAAATCCCACTTTCCTGCTTCTTTCCCGGCCCTGGAAAGAAAACACCCGGAGGAGGTGCGGAGCGGGGGTGCGGGTCCCCGCCGAGCCCACCTCGCCCCGGCCCATCCCGCCGCCAGGGAGCTGCACTGGGGAGAAAAGCCTCTGTCATGTCCCCGCTCCCCGCTCCCGGGGTTCGGGCCGGTGCCCCGGGACAGCAGCTCCATCTTGCCCTGACCCTGGGACCTCCGCAGTCCCAGGGGCCGCGGGGGCAGATCTGTATCCCGGACAGAGCTACGGGGCTGGATCCTTCATCCCTCCCTCTCTCCCCAGGCTCTTGCTCCGATCCGCTAGCGCCTTCACTGCGCCCTCATCCTATGAACTTGCCGAGCTATATTTTATTAAATTTGGCACTTAAGTGACTTCCCGCGGGCTCAGGGACCGGCTGGATGTGACATCGATCTTAATTTATGCTCGGGAGAGAGTGAGTGAGCGGGGCTCCATCCCGATAGTCCGAGAGGGGAAGCCGAGACTGTAAATTCCAAAAAGAAATTCTCCAGCACGTTTCCCTTCGGCCTGGAGAGGGGAGAGACGAGATGGGATGGGATGAATTGGACTAGGGTGGAAATGGGTGAGAGGGGTTGGAATGGACCGGGCTGAGATCGTATGGGTGGGATGGGAGGTCGAGGTCGACCTGCAAGTCGAGGTGGGCTGGGGTGAGCTCGAGACGAAGTTAATTTTTGTTAAATGATTCTTGAAGGACTCAGGTACCAGGTGACATCTCTCTCATTCCTTCGCCGCTCTCAGTTCCCGTCTGCCCTGTGCCTGCTGCCCATATGGGAGAGTCCTCAGGCCCCCCTTCAGCCGTCGCAGCCTCCCGGATTTCGGCGGGCCCCCCGGCAGCCCCCACGGGCGGGGCCGG